CTCTTATATTTACCTATAAGAACGCTAATACTGTGAGTGCTCCTATAAGTTCCGTTAGGAGTGCTTATATTAGAAGCACTCCTAAAGGCTTATCTATTTAAAAGAAAAAATTTTAGTTAGTAACACAGATTTTGGGTGAGACACTCAAGTCAACACCATTTTCTCTCAAAATCCTTGTAGCTTCGTCTCTCCCTCCTGCCATCGCCCACTGCTGGTGACGTCGTCCTCGCCTTCCATAGCTACTACCGCAGTCGTTCTTATCGCTGTCGACCGCCGTACGTGTCACCAACAGCTGCTTCACGTTGTAAAACGCGTTCGGCCATCCGTCCCTGTTTGAAATTGCATTAGAATCATTATGTTCAATTGCCGCAATTGCGCGAGAATCTTCTGTTTGCTGGAATCTTTTGTGCGCCGGAATCTTCTGCTAGGTTGCGTCACTGAAATCTTAAACATTTGCCATCATTAGTTGCTGCCGTCCGAAATTACTTGCGAGGTTAGTTTTAATTTTTTAAAAAAATTATATAATTATATAGTGATTTTAATAAGTTGTTATATATATTACTAATAATAATACAGGTTTGATGATAATACTCTATGACTTTGGTTTTTTTCAGACATTAAATTGCTCTCTTGTTGGCTAAAATTGAACTTGAAGGTAATTATAATTGTTATATGATTGAGTTGTTATGTAAATAAATTTGGATGTGCTTATATTGAAATTTACTTTATGTTAGTTAAGTGCTATATGTTGAATTGTTTGATAGATTTTTGTTACATTATGCTATAAATTTTTTTTGACGAATTGATATATTGAATTATTGAATTTGATTATTTGGGATGTGTCACTTTTAGGGGGGACTCTACCGAATTTTTAAAAAATATATTCTAAATTTTTTATCTTTGTTTTTTGAATTTTTACAATTATATTAGTGATATGGATCGTAAATGTATGTCGACTAATTGATTGTCTAAAGAATATTGAGATGGAGTGGATAAGTTCATTGAGTTTGTATTTTCTCATAATCAAGACCCTTGTGAAGTCATATACCCTTGTTTAAAATGTTGCTATGGAAGACAAGTAAAGCCAATAGAATTATAAGATCATTTATTATGCAATGAGATTGATCCAACTTACACCTATTGGACCATGCATGGAGAGACAAGGAATTATGCTAATGATTAGAGGGATAATGTGAGCTACACATCATTTAATCGTGATAGTGGGATAGATTATGTTAACCATCTTGATGAGATAATTGATATAGTTGAAAAGGATCTTAAGGATTGTTTTAAGATGTTTGAGAGATTGAAGAGTGATGCGAAAAAACCATCATACCCCAGTAGCAAAAGATTCACAAAATTGTCAGTTGTTTTGAAATTATACAATGTAAAAGCGACTAATGAATGGAGTAATAAGAGTTTCACAGATTTACTTGAACTTTTGTATGAGATGTTGCCAGAGTACATTGAACTTTAACCAAATACTTACGAAGCTAAAAAGGTGCTATGTTTTATTGGGATGAATCATGAGAAGATACATACATGTCCTAATGATTGTGTCCTCTTTTGAAATACGTATTCAACTTTAGATAATTGTCTAAAATGTGATGCGTCATGGTACAAGAGAAATGGGTATATTCTGACAAAAGCATTGTGTTGTTTTCCAATCATACGAAGATTCAAATGCCTGTACAGTATTGCAGAAGATGCTAAGCACTTAACATGGCATGCTGATGAGAGAATTAAAGATGGCAAGCTATGACATCCTATAGATTCTCCTCAATGAAAAAAGTTTGATTTTATATATCCCGAGTTTGGGGATGAAGATAGAAACTTGCACCTTAATTTAGCCACTAATAAAATGAACCCTCATAGTATGCAAAGTAGTACTCATAGTACATGATTGATAATTTTGATGATCTATAACTTCTCTTTATAGTTATGCATGAAACACAAATTTATAATGCTGTCATTGTTAATTTTTAGGCCACAACAACCAAGAAATGATATAGATGTATACTTAATTTCGTTGATTGAAGATTTGAAGCTATTGTGGGAGACAACTGTGGAGGTATATGATAGGCACAGGGAGGAACGATTCATCATGCAAGTTATGTTGTTTGACACCATAAATGACTTTCTTGCCCATGAAAACCTATCAAGATATAGTATCAAAGGGTGAGATGCATGCCTTGTATGTAAAGAGTACACTTGTTTAGTGCGATTGAAACATCGTAGGAAGAACATCTTTATGAGTCATCATCGATTTTTGCCTCAAGTACATCATTATCGACAGTTGAAAAAAGCCTTCAATAGCCACCCAAAGAAGGGTAGAGTTTCTTTGCCTTTAACTGGTGAGCAACTCTTTGAAAAGGTTAAAAATTTAAATATCAAATTTAGAAAACCATTTGCAGATAGGTTTGTTACAAATGGCTGGAAAACAAAGTCCATCTTATTTGAGTTGTCATACTAAAAGTCTCTAGATGTGAGGCATTTTCTTGATACAATACATATTGAAAAGAATGTTTGTAACAGTCTTAATGGCACATTACTCCACATTTCAAGAAAAAAGCAAGGATGTTATTAATACAAGGATGAATTCGGTTAGTATGGTTAAGAAAAGAGCTGGCACCAAAGAACAAGGGAAAATGCAAGAGATGTTTGTATTATTTGCTTAACAACACATGTTTGGTATGAATACGAATGATTGTTTGATTAATATTTTATGTCTGTTATTCTGAATATGTTGTTTTAGTTTGGTGTAGAATTTTTGAAAAATTCTAGAACATCCAAGGTATAAGAGAGACTCTGCCAAATTTTCTTCAAATTTGATCTGTAGATCATATCTTAATCTCTAAAATATTAATTAGCTCTATTTTATCTCTAACATGTTTGGATAAGTACATCTTACTTTATTGTTTTTATAGGTACCTACACAAATAAAAAGATGGGAGTATGGTTACTATATGTTGAAGTTCATAAAACAAATAATTACACAATAAGAATTGATCATTTCACCAAATATAAGTGTTTCAAGATTACATTCATGCCTTGCATATAACATAGATAATTTTCTTGTAGTATTTTGCTGAAGCAAAATCTTCACATTTAATCATGGAGCACATCGAAGATATAATTGAGAAGTGGTCAGAATATATAATTAGTTGTTTGTCATAGATAACATCTAATGTTAGAAAAAACTAAAAGTTTTATTAGTTAATTAACTAGACTAGCTAGAGATTGGACAAGGTAGAAATTTAATCTTAGTTTATTTTAATTTTAAGTTATTTAATTGTATATAACTTTTAATGTTTAATTTTATTGTTGTTGGATTAATTTTTTTAAATTATTAATTTGTTATGGAATAGCTATCATTTGTAATGAGCTGCATATGATATGTAAAAATATAAAAAAAAATTAAAAACATATGGGAGCACTCCCAAAACTATATGATACAGAAGCACTTTGGGAACATAGGGGGGCTCTTTATAAGAGCTCTCTTGTAGGGGACCATAAGAGAGTGCTCTTCTTTAAAGTGCTCTTATATGACACCATACAGGAGGACTCTTTCTAAGAGTGCTCCCATATACATCTTGCGGGAGTACTTTTTGTAAAAGCACTCTTGTATGTTTTAATTTTTTCATTCCATCAAAATAACCCTACAGAGACGCTCTTAATAAAAGCATTCTCGTATACTTGACCTATAAGAGCGCTTTGTAAATACTCCTATATATACAGGAGCGCTAGATATAGAAGCGCTTTGAGGCAAAAATAAACGCTCTCGTAAAGTATTTTTGTAATAGTAAAGCTTTTGCTATTTTATTTTTGAGGGAGCCCAGAGATTCTAGAAGGGTAAACTCAAAAGACCAAAGCACTAGATAAATAGATATTGTGAGGAAAAAAGCCCCCCCCCCCTTAAAAAAAAACTTCATAAACCAAAACAATACAAATGTCTTTCAATTTATCCTTTCTTCATCATGATTCTCATTCCAAATTCAATAGTTTTATGCCAAGAAACACTGATCCACCAATACCAACTTCAATTGTTTCAGAACAAAGCTAAACAATTTTAGAGAGAGTAATATTAAGTTTAGTAAGAACAGAACTCTTTCAAATCGTTAAAGCTGAAAACGAATAAGTAGCTGGATATCATGTTTTAGATCAAGCATGCCTAACATTGAGATTTGAGGCCTTCCTCTTTTTTGTTATACATACATACATATGTAGGAAAAATAACACTTAGTCCTTGTACTTTAACAACATTTTGTTTTCACTCCATATAATTAATTTTCAGTCCGTATAATTTAATTTCATAGTTTCTGGTTCCTTTTATTTGCTCCATCTGAGATATTAGTTCCTATATTTTGAAAAATATTCAAAAGGATCATGACATGGCGCAAATTTTTGTTGTGGTAGATTTAACACTGCAAGACCCTACCAAAACACTGTAAAACTCATTTAGATGACTAGGAAAAAAACATGCTGACCTGGAAAAAATTATAAATTTTCTGATTAAAAATTTGCTCTAATAAAAAATTAGGAAAAAGAATCACAATTCCTAAAAAATACCCACGCATGAGTGAGACGGAGAAGGGCATCAAAGAAGCATAAAGGCATCGGACCTCAGCAAAATTAATACTGTTTGGGTCAATTCATGATCCTCCTAAACATTTTTCAAAATAAAAGGACAAACATTTCAGACAGAACATGGTTCCTACTATATTTAGGCCCATCATTAAAAAAGGAATTTACAAGTTTACAACTCATGAAAATGTGCTCCAGGATATTAGAGACCATAGCTCCTCTCAATTGAAAAGATCTCTAAAGTGGTCGATTATTGAATATAGACAACTGAGATCAAAATTGTTTTAATCTAAATGGTAGTTTTTTTTTTTTTTTTGTATGTTATCATTTTTGCTTTTCCATGTTGCTCTCTTTAAAACCCAAAACAAAATGTCATTAAGGGCAACAGAAATGCTTTTGACTGCTCTCATCAAATCTGAACCTTTCAAATTCAATAATTGACCACTAAATGGATCGTTGAAATTGAGAGGACCCATAATTGGATATTAGATGTAAGAGATCTGCAAGATTAAAATCAAAATCCAGGAATTGACTGCAAAAGAAAAACATGAAAATCCAGGCCCTAACCAAATGGCCACTTCATCGGTTTGCCATGTATGTTAGATATATAGTCCACACATAGGCGCAGGAACTATTCATCAATGGCTGCACAATTAGTACAACAAAGATATTACATTAGTTGAGCAGCTAGAAGAGTTTAATGACTAATATCAAATTGAAAGTTGAAAGTTGAAACAGAACAAAAATTTTGAACACAGATGGACCTTGGCTTCTCATATACAAACCTGTAACTGAACTTGAATGAACTTGAATGTCACAAAATCGCAGACAGGCCAAAACATAGCACCGCCAAGAAGTGTTGGAAGCAGATCTCGCTTCAACCTAGCAACTATTTCAGAACCATTTTCACCTGAAATTGACATCAAACTATACATCAGGATTCCAAGATAACTCGGTGGTGAGCCACAAAATGAGAAGGGAGAAACTGTATGAACAGACTTGAAAAGGCTCCGCTTATAAAAGGCAACAGGTGTGTAGAAATAAGCATTAATGAGACATCTGAATGGAAAGCTGTGAAACAAACCAGAAATGGCTAAATCTATTCATGCAACTATAGCACTGACTCCCATAAACCCATAGGATATAAAAAATATATCTTGATTGATTAAGATCCCTTGCTGGTGAAAGATTATAAAAGCTAGAAGGTTTGTAGATATATGAGAAAGTGGAAAGTAACAACATTTTGGAAGGGGAAGTTTGAATCACCTTGCAGGGCAGAGTTATAGGAGAAGAAAACAGTATTGATGACGGGACCAAATACAGCCTGCCCCATCAAAATTTTCTTCAAGGTTGATGGCACATCTGTCTTTGGGAAAGCCTTGGACAAGAAGTTAAACCACATATGTTGCGATGGCCCCAAAATGAACAACGCATATGTTGCCATGCGCATTGTCCTTTTCAAATCATAAGAAGCAGAAGCAGATGGCATTGTAATTGTCTAGCATGCGCAAATCATCAAGTTAGCAAAGGCATAATTACTATGATATATAAGACTGCCAAGAATAAGACAAATAGTGAAAGAATGTTTTCTAATCAGAAAACATAATCCAGGATAATAGACAATTACCTCTACAATTTGATGAAATATGGAATAATTCAGTTTTTACAACAGTCACCAAGAATGTGGCAAAAGCATTTCAAATAAAGGATACATTTATTTTCATTTGTTAATGTCATGTATTTCAAATAGATTACTTATGCAAATAATCTTGGAATTTAACATTTTCAGAAAGGAAGGCACCAATCCCAGTTGAAACATAAAAGGGGGGAAAAACTTGATACAGAAACTGGTAGCCGCTATCATCTAAAACTTAAAGCATACTGGAAACAAGTCTTATCTGCCTCATGTTATACAAGAGAAAAAAGTTTTACACCTCAGCCTCATAGTTGGGATTAAGACCAACCCCTGGCCTGGTCTGGAAAAACAAAAAAACTAGAAACAGAAACTAATAGCCAGTAATCAAAACTTAGGTGGAAACCAATCTTATCTGTCTCATTCTGGAGTGGAGAGAAAAAAATTTCAAACACTGCACATAACAGAGAATATGTAGTTGCGAAGCAAAGGAAAACCAAACTACTTTAAAGAAAATCTGAGATTATTGAAATCCAAAGAGAAGTATTCAATTTCAGTTTGTAAGAATAACAAGAAGAGAAAAGCCATCAAATTATACAGTCACAGGCTCAATGAATATTATGAATGGAAACAGGTTTGAATGTTAAAAAAGAATTGTATTATTGATCTGAAGACAATAGTAGTTTCATAAATCTACTCCAGACACTTGCAAGAAATAGTGGAGAGAAAGACATAGCATGTGAAAACAGACCTGATTTTGAAATGCGCGCCCAAGTGGGTGCTAAACAGCATCAGACTAAAGTAGAATTTCTCCTCAATCTTCGTCCATAAAACTTCTAAGGCTAGTATGGGAGTATAACGCACAAGAAAACTAGAAAAATCACGAAATGAAATTGGGAATAAAATTAGCTCAAGCCCACAGCCTTAAAGGAAGGGATTGAAGCTTCGATACTGTGATTATTAAACAAATTCTATGCGCAAATAACACCCTCCTAACACACCAAAACGCACATTTGGCTCTAGAGTGAACAAATCACCAAGCTACAACAACTCTGCCAGAAACTAATTTAAATGTATAAACAGAACAGTTCAGATTCAACTCAATGTCGGTTAACTAAAAGTTTAGTGCCATTTTAGGGAACCATTTATTTCAAAGCATAAAATGCTTTTAAAAGCTCAAGAAGGGATTTTACATCAAATAATTAATAATACAAGCAGCATTTCACTTTCCACAAATTCACAGCGTTATCACAAAGTACACATACATACAAGTTGAAATTAGCATATCACAACTCCAAAATAAAGAGCAGTGGGAATTTTAAGGATCCAAAACAAAAACCTTTCACCTGCGAAGTCAAGTCAGATGCAACAAAAATGAGTGATGATGTTATGCTCTTTGTAACAAGTGGCTGGGTTTCGAGCTTCCGCAGATACCAACCCACGAACCCAAGCTTCAGAAAAGACGAAGAAGAAGAAGAATTCGAAGAAGTAAACGAAGACGGAGACCGTTTTCTCATCTGATGATAATATCGAACACACGGTGGGCATTCGCGCCAATTTGCAAAAGAAGGGATTTTGCATACAGCACCGCCATCGAAAACCAAATTTCTATCACGCAGCTGGAGGAAGCAGCGTTTACCGATGTCCCGCATGACGTTTAAGTTGCTCATTGCTACAGATTTTTGTGAACTTGTTCCTATGAGCTATAAGCTTCATGCATGCAATCTTTCGAAAGGTTAAGCTGAAAACTCAAAATTCGACAAACTTTTTTTACGTAAATTCAACATGAAAATCCAATGGCAACCAGTTGCCTAGAGCTTTTCAGGCGCAACCGAGAGAAACATCGAGAATCCGACGAAATTGGAGAAGAGTATGGAGAGTCGTTTTTTTGTGTGGGCCGAAGTGGACGGAGGGTCGGCAATTAGATCTTGTATACCTTGCCGCCCGCCTCAAACGACTTGTCGTTCTGCCTCTCAAATCTAACAAAAGAAAGGTAGAATTATTAACACAAGTACAGCACATGACGATTCAATTAAATACCACTGTAAGATTTATCAATAACGTAACATTGCAAAGTAATAATATTTAGTTCTCATTTGCCATTTTGAAATGTGAATAAATTTTAATTGATATTATAAGAGACCTAAATATAATTCTTCTTTTTTGTTTTTAAGAAGGAACACAAAAAAGGTATTTTGCATGAAGTTGTTTAACACATAATTTAAATCATGCATACAACTTAATATTGAAGACCACTATGCATGTTATGAGGATTATTTTAAGGAAAATTAATTAATTAATCCATTTAATTTTACTGAGTTTACCAATTTACTCCCTATATTTTAAAAACATGCAACCCAATCTATATAATTTAAAATACACACAACACAAGTTACACAACCATGTCATTAAAAGTTAAAAGAATGCTTACATGGAATCAAATTATTGTCAAGGAGGGAGGATTAAAATGCCACATCACCTTGCTTCCATGTCACCTTTGCCTAGCCCAAATTTTAACATGAATCACATTATTTGCACATTTGATAAAATTGATTTTTGATAAGTGGATATTTTACCTAAATTAATATATATATATATATATATATTGCTCTTTTATTTGTTAATTAATGTGTAAATTGATGAAAATTTGGATAAAAGACTTCAGTTGGTGATTTTGGAGCATTTTCAAGAAAAAAGGAGTGAAAATAATATATAAACGGCAAAAAATGCTAAGTACCAAATCAAAGCTCAAGAAACAAGCCCAAAAAGAGATGTCCACTAGCAAACAAATTAAGAAGACAAGTTCTTCACACATGAACATAGCAAGTAGGGATGAGCAGGCAACTCACAATCCACAAGACTCACTTATACCAATTGAAAATAGGCAGGTAAAAAACCGCCCATTTAACAAAAAACATGGGCGGGTGAAAATTACAGGACAATCCATATATCTTCTAAACATGCAAGACAGGTTATAGGTTAGCTACCAAGCTACTCGTCTCGTCCCGTTTTAATATAAAATATATATATTCATTTTATTTATTAGGCAACACAGTCAATCACACACGTTGTGTTTTAGCTTTAGCAGAGATTGCAAAAGTTATTGCCAATTTGCCATTTGTGCCAAAATCAAAAACCCTCAATTCCTCACAAATTGCAATTTCGCTCTCCCACTTTAGTTCATCAAGACCTTGTCTTGGCCATCGCTGCTAAAGACTCTTTGCCTTTCAGCTCTTTGCTAGACGATGCTGCCTCATTTTGTCCCTCATCTTAGTCTTACTCTGTCATACACAGTCAGTCTTCATAGTTCAAATGACGCATGCTTAGTACTCACTATCACAAGCTCACCGCTTATGGCCACTCAATACTTAGCTATTAGCTTTGACTCTATGCTCAGTCAAACTCAATCTTATATCTGCTTCATCGTGCTCATATATGTCTGGCTGCCAAGCCAAGACCAGGTAAGTTATTAACTTTGTAGTGATGATTCTTTGACTTTGCCTCTTCTCTCAACTGTGGATTCTGCCATTCTAGTGGCTGTATGGCGAATAAGACATTTTCATTTGGCAAAATATCATTTTATGGACTTTGTGGCAATTTAACCCGACCTACAGATTTGATTTTATATTTGGAAGAATATCAATTTTTTAACATGATATTAGTTTATAAAATGTATATATCAACTTATGCTAGCTTAGCCTGGTAACCTTTAGCTGCTACAATTTGTGCAATGTGTATGAAAGAAAACTTAATATGCATAAAGTTACTAAAGGTTATTATTTAATCTTAATTGATCATAAGCAATCGTGCAAACATGCATAAGTACATTGCTTGATTGAAATTATATGATTTTATTTGTGTTATGAAATTATGTGACTGCTTGATTGGAATAATTGTGTCTTCTTAATTTTTTAAAATTTAGAAGGATGAGCAACACTCGAACCCCTAAAGTAAATGTGGAAGAAGGTGATACTGAAACTAAAGATATTATGACATCACATAGTTTGAAGTTCTATTACGTAAACTTGAGCCTAGATTTCAAATCCCTTCATGATGGACAGTTGCTAAGAATTATTACAAGTTGTATCTTGAAGAAGTAAGACATCTAAAGAAATATTTTATGAAATCTGAAGTTCATGTGTTCCTTATCACAGATTATTGGACTTCAATCCAAAATGCCAACTACATGTGTTTGATTGGTCAATGGGTTGATGAGAATTGGACATTATAAAAATGGATTTTAAATTTTTTTTGTAATTGTAAACCACAAAAGAGATACCTTCGAGAAGGAAGTTGAGGGATGCTTATTTAGTTAGGGTACTAACAAAGTATTTACTATTACAATGACAATGCTTCTTCCAATGACACTACAGTTGCATATTTAAAAAAACGCTTGAGAAAATGGAATGGTTTTGTGTGTGATAAAGAGTATATTCATATGTAATGTGCTGTTCATATTTTGAATTTGATTGTTTTTGAATGACTAAGGAGATGAATAAGTCCATTAAACTCATTCGACATACGATAAATTTGTTAGATCTTCTTTAACAAGGATGCATAAATTCAAGAAGCTCATAGAGATTCAAAAAGTCTACTTAGTATGGATTGTCCCACTAAGTAATTTTAATTATTGTTATGAATTGTTAATTAATTTTTATTTTTCTAATATTAATCAAGGTTTGTTTATGTTGTTAGGTGAAATTAAACATACCTTATATTGAAAAATGCTGTGAAGTTCATTAAAGTCTTTGATAGGATGAAGGAAGAAGATGAAGATTATAAGAAAGACTTCAAAAAGATAGTTAAAGAAGAACCTCCTAATCTATATGATAGGGGTATTGCAAAGGATTTTATTGTCTTCTTGAAGTTGTTTTGCTCTATGACATTGAAATTTTCTACATCAAATTTTGTGACATCAAACATATGTTTTCAGTAGATAGTTGTAATTCAAACCAAACTTAAGACAAGTGCAACTAATTCTAGTGCTCTATTAGGCGACATGGTGAAAAGAATGCAAAATCAGTTAGATAAGTATTAAGGTAAGGCTGATAACATGGATTCATTATTGGTGATAGCAATGGTACTAGACCTTAGATACAAATTTAATTATGTCCAAGTTGCTTTGCAAAACATATATTCTAACCCCATCCAACGTGAACTAGTCACAAAAAAATATCATGGATGCCTTACATACCTTATATGATGAATATTCAAAGGATGTCTTTGATAGTGAAGCTTCTTAAACTCAAGCAAGAGTTGAACTTAGGGATGAAAATATTGGGAATCGAGAGTTAATTCCTGATGATGATGTCTTGACAGTCATAGATGATAAAACAATGTGACAATTTTATACAATTGCAAGCGCTGAATGTCAAGAGGAAAAAAGTTTAAAGGTAGATAAATATCTTCAAGTTAGGTTAGTTGCTTCTCGTGATCTAAAATTTGATATTTTGGCTTGGTGAAAAGTGAAGACTTTCAAATATAAAGTCTTGAGTTTGATTGCACGTGATGTGTTGGCTTCACCTATCTCTACGGTGTCTTTAGAGTCTGCCTTTAGTATGGAAGGTCGAGTACTGGATACTTTTAGGAGCTCCCTATTTGCAAAAATGATTGAGGCACTCATTTATACCTAAAGTTGGCTTTCTCAACCTACTTTCAAATTGAAAGAGCTTGACGTTGGTAATTTTGATGAGTCTGACAATCTTGTTATCAATAATTTCATTAACATTTTTAATTTACATTATTTCACATTGTTCAAATATTAATAAATATTATTTTTCTTAATTTGTTTTGTAGAGGAAGACTTAGGAGCTTAACATTCAACCATTTCAAGTGATTCTGAAGATGATGATGATGATGATGATGATCTAATACAAGATTAAATGTGATTTATTATTTTAGATTATTGCCTTATTGGCTTGTGGTAAGATGATTTGTGTTGGATTATTGCTCGTGTCTTGTGGCAAGATTATTTGTCAATTTGTGTGGTTGCTTTGATTAATGTTGTGCTTAATTTGAAGATTGATGTTGATGATGCTTGGATTGGATGACTGTAATATGTAATGTAATAGTTAATGTTAGAGCTTGTTTCCTTTGATGATTGTGATATTTAAATTGTTTTTTAGGTAGAATTAAAAGAATTTAAAAGTGTAGAATTTTTTTTTTGGACAAAAGGGGGTTGTTTACTTAAAATGAGCTGGCTAGCTCACCTAGCCTGCTTTTCAAACGGGCTGAAATGGGCTATAAATGGGTACAAGTTGGCTAACCCGTTTTAGGAAAAAATGAGATAGGCTATTGGCAGCCCCATGGGCCAACTCATCCTGCCTATTGCACAGCCCTAATAGCAAGCACGAAGAAGAACATTTGCTAGAAGTATGTCCGAGTATGAATATAACATGAAAGAAGTACGACTACAAGCGAACATCTTAAGGCTTAATGTTCACTCACATACGAATGAAGTCATGGAATTGGGCCATACAACATTGAACCATGCACAGACTTGGAGAAGAGAATCTCAATCGTGCATGGATGTAGGAAGAAACATATGGCATCAACCACTTTCATTCGTGTTCAATTCCTTTTATGTAGTTCCTTGTGAGATGACCTTGATTTACTACACTAAGCTAGATCCATACACTTGTGGTATGTTTAAATTTTGTGTGCATCAATTTTGCATTTATATTTTGTAGGTCAAGAAGGAACTAGTTTATATTAATGATGGTTTGGTGGAACCAATTTAAGCTAAAGGAGGCCAATAAACTTTATAGGTAGGATTGTATGTGAGGAATTGGAGTTTTGGGGAGTTTTTGAAGTATTGAATTGATAGTTATAATCTCATTAGTAGTGATATTAATGATGATTTGTTATGATTAATTGTAAATTAATTATTTCTTGGCACCATTCTAG